GCGCCAGACCCCACCCTCCGGCCGTGCCGCCACCCCTCCGCGCAGCCCCCGCCCCCACGCGGCCGCTCGCAAACTTGGGAGCGAACTTGGAGAACAGCCGAGAGTTGGAGGAGGGACGGGCTACGGGGCCCGCCCGAGGAATCCCCGGTCCCCGCGCCTTTTCCTCCCTTCCCCAGACACCCACCGGAGAAGCCGCCTCTGCGCGCTCACTGTGCGGACGGGCCCGGGTCGGGAAGGCGGATGGGGGACAACGGCGTGACGCACCAAGGACCCCCTCACCCCCAGCGCCTCGGAACCGGCCGGGGGAGGGCGGCCCGCAGACGGCCCAGGTCGAGGCCGCACTCCTGCTCACCGCTGCGAAGCGCTTGTAGTGCACGGTTGTGCAGTCAGCTCCTCCCGCGCACTCGGCGCAATCAAAGCCTGCAGGGGACGGCCGGAGCGGGATGCTTGAGGCTTGTGGGTAGACTCGGTCAGGACCGGAGGCCTGGGCGAAGGGGGTCTCCATAGGGACGGACTGGAGAGACGCCGGGGAGGTAGAACGGCCCAGCCATGGGCTCCGGAAGAATGTGGAGGTAAAGGCAGAGGGAGGCGGCCAGAGAGCTTCAGGACGGGAGACCCAGCAATAATCTTGTTTGTCAAGGGATGAAAAGGCGCTGGGGAGCCTGGGAGAGGAATTCTGCTTGAGAAGGCTGTTGGATCACCGGAGAGAAAGGTCCAGAAGGTACAGTCAGGGCTGGAGATAAGGGAGCTCCTGCATCAGGAGGGGTGGAGTACAGCACAGAGGAGAGCAGGGGAAGCAGGGCCTGTGGGGAAGGAGATTGAGAGGGACAGGGCCTAGGGGGACAGGGAGGAAGAGAAAACTCTGGGCCTGCGGAGCAGAGGGGTGCCCGAAGCTGGGGCAGGTGGCAGACCCAACCCAGGGCCGAGGGAATAGGAAGGTCGCAGGCCTGGGAATGGAACAAAAAGGGGGGCAGCCAAATCCCAGAAAAGATAAGCTTGTCTTCTGGGGATTGGAGAGTTGGCCAGAGGGCCTGAGCAGGGAGAGGGCACCTGCCTTCTCCTAGGGGAACAGGCTGCATGGACGCTCCCTGAGAAGGAGGGAGAGGCCATATTCTTCCTCAGTTATACGAGGGTGCGGCTGGAGGAGTGGGCTTGGAACAAGGGCCACTGAAAGGCCCAAGGCTGTGGGCATCACCAGGCTCGCTGGGCCAGAGACCTGTCCAGGGCAGGCTGGTGGAGGGTGGGGAAGAGGAGGGCGGGGGGCTTTGGAGGTTAGGGCCCCCCGCTCAGCCATGCTAGCGCAGGCAGGGGAGGGGCGGGCCAACAGTTGAGTGAGCTGGAAGGGGAAGTCACATCCGTGTGGTCACAAGTGCAAACACTTCTCAGGGACAAGTAAAAAGGCCAACCACTTCTGGGCAGCTCCACCTGGGCACAGCCCTGACCTCAGCAGTGCCCTCCCAGTGCTGCTCCCACTGGCTGTCACCAACAGAGGCCAGCAAAAGTCTATGTGGCTGCAGTATCTGCCCTGCAGCTTGTGGCAGCCCAGCTCCCCGGCTTTAGAAGCATAGACCCCAGGGATGGAGGGGACACTCACCCCAGCTGGACTAAGTTCAAGAACAGGCACCTCAAACCCCATCACCTTCTTTCCCCTTCCCCTAGAGCTGACCCTCCCAATTCCCACCTCTGTGAAGGGAACCACCTGGAGAATACCTGCCCCTGCACCGATCACCAGGACCTCCTAAATGGCTCAAGACTCTACCCACCCCCACCTGTGTACCACCCAGAGTGGTCTTTCTAATCTCACATCTGGCTGCCCCCCACTGCCCTCAGCACAAGGACCGTCCCCAGCCTCATCTTACTCAGATCCACAGCCCCCTGCATGTGTCCCACTGCAGCCACCTCACAGGTGATACCGAATTCAGGTGTCACGGGCAGGGCCCGTGGTCTCAGCCACCGCCACACCCCTATGGGGAAGTGCAGCTGGAGGGAATGAATTGTCCCGTGCCTGGCCTGGTGCCAGGTGAGTACCAGGATGAGGAAGCTGTGGGTTCACGGGCGCCCACAGATGACTGACAACCATGCAGGCAAACCATGGGAGCCCGGAGCCCGGGCCAACTAGTCCTAGCCAGGATGGCTTCCCAGAGGAGGCTGACTTGAAGAGTGAGGATTCCGCACACCAAAAAGGATGAGCAATGAGCCAAGTGGAGGCATGAATGCAGGGCCTGAGAGCCTGCCAAGCTGGCAAGCCCGGGCTGCCTAGGCCCAGGGGCAGGTGGTAGGCTGCTGGTGGTGGGTAAACACTAGGCTGGGCCTGGAGGATGGACAGTGGCAGGGCCAGGCTGCCGCCCAGCTCTCAGGACCCCTTCCAGGGCTCATCTCTACTCCAACCCCATGCTCTGGGGGGGGCCTCACAGACCCTTCCCGCCTCCAACACAGACTCTTGAGTAGGTCTCTTGCGTAGCTGTGGCTGCACCTTGGTAGCTCTGGGTGGGGAGACAGCACATTGGAAACGGGGGGAGCGCATTTCTGGCACTTCTCCTTCCCAGAAACCTCTAGGGTTTGCAGGAACTGTTGTCCTGGCCCGTAAGGTGGTGGGAGAAACAGGAAGTGCTAGGTCCCTACACCGAGCCCATGTTCTAACACCTTACCCTCGGGAGCAGGGGAGATGACACTGGAGAAAGTGGCCATCCTGTCCCATTAGAAGTTACCCACCAGGGTCAACACTGGGCTTGCCACCCTGAAGTGTAAGTGCATGATGTCACAGTGGGGTTAGGGAGTGAGAGCATGTTTCCTCAGGGGTACCCAAGCCCCAAGAGACAGGGAGGAAGGTCACACAGCCCTGAGGAGCAGACAGTGACTCCCACTGGCCTCACCCCCACACCCCAAAATCCTTAGGGTATCCAGAAAGGAAAGCCCAGAGCAACCAATTGCCTGCCTCTCTCCCCACCCCCTTCCTCCCATCAAGTAGCACACACTGCCCCTCTGCTCCCCTCCCTTCCATGACAGGGTGCCGGCCTCTGCAGGCTCTGGGTAAGGCACTGGGAGACACAGACAAGACCCAGTTGTCCCCTGCTCTGCCCAGCTGTCCGAGAAAGGACAGAGCCTTAGGAAGTCACAGGTCGCTGTGGGGTGATGTCAGGCCGGGAGGCCTGCAGCAGAGTTGGCAGGTGCAGAACCTGTGGCAGCAGGAGGCAGGCGTTCCAGTGGAAGCTCAGCTGCAGGAGCCCCAGCCCGTCCGTTGGGCGCCCCAAGGGTCCCATCCGCTGTACCAGTGTGGCCCTTGAGACCATGTGCTAAGAACTCACTTGGCAAACCTGCAGGAAATGCAGCCCCCGCCCCCAGATCCAAGAGGTGGGGAGGTAGGGGTCCTCTGTGTTGATCGGCCTCCCTCCTCACATGCTGGGAGTTGGTCTCCTGAACCACAGTCTGGGGATTTACTTGGGGCGGGGAAACTGCTAACTGGAACTGGACCCAAGTTCAGAGAAGAGCTCCTCACTGGAGAAGGTGCTCAAGCAAGCCCGGGACCACCTGTCACCAGAAAGGGGCAGGTTTCCAGGTTTCCCAGTGACACCTTTCCAGCTGGGGGGTACGGTGCTCTTCCTGCCGAGGCAGACTCTCGGCCTCCCACAGCCATTCAGCAGCTCTGGCCTTGACTACCACCCCAGAGCCTGGGCCCCCAGCAGCTGTGACCCCAGAAACCCCTGCTTCCTGGTGCTGCAGCCTGGGACAGGCCCTGTGAGGAAGTAAGGCTGTGGCCACAGGAAAACAATTCACACCTTTTGTAAGATGATTTATTTCATTTATTAACAACACAGGGTCAGAAAAGCCTGGCTGTAGGGGATCTGTTTATCGCTAGAACCAGTCTCAGGCAACTTGATGTATCTCTGCTTCCTCACCAGCTCTTGGAAACGCTCCAGCACTGAAGCCCTTGGCTGCTGGGCCGGCTGAGGGACTCACTTTGCCTCCTCCCTACCCACAGAAGGGGACGCAATGTGCCACAGCCCCCTCACCCAGGCACCAGTCCCCAGGTCCCTCTGGAAAAGGGTGCCTTCTTAGCCCAGCAGGGACCAGAACCAGGGAGGCCAAGACAGCTGGTGATGGCACACCCCGTCCAAGCAGAGGAGTGGGCCTGGTCAACTTCAGAGGACCAGGGCTCTTCACAAGCATTTCCCACTGCTGGGTAATCCACAGCCACAGATCTGCAGAGCCCGCAAATACCAGCCGACGGGCCAGTGTGAAGGAAAGGTGGCAGGAGCCAGCAAGTCGGCAATGCCAGGAGGAAGGGTGGCCGACGCCCTGGGGTAAAGTGCTCTGGCCTGGGCCGCCTAGGGGCCCTGCTGCCCTCAGAGCTCCCGCCACCCTTCCCCTCTGACACCGGGCTCCTGGAGCCCTAGTCCTCGCTGGAATTGTCGAACTCCTCCCAGTCAGACACACTCATCACCTCTGAGGCGAAGTCCGGGTCGGCCTGGCTGCGGTCAGGCGACCCACGGGGCGGCTCGAGGAGCAGGGAGCGGGGCAGGGTGAGCACGCAGGCCGCCAGGCCCGAGATGGAGTTGTCCAGCTGGGGCCCCTCCTCCCAGCAGTCCTTCTCCATGTCATAGATATGCACGTAGCCCGTGCGGCTGCCACGGTTGTGCGACCGGCCGCCCAGCACGTAGATCCTGTTGTCCAGTACAGCGATGCCGGGCTCCCCGTGCCCCGCTGGGAGCGGGCAGACAGATGACCACTGCCCGGACGTGCACCTGTAGCAGGCCACCTGCAAAGCCAAGGCCAGAGTAAAGCCAGACACCTGCTGGGACGGGGCTGCGAGCCCACCCCAAGCCAGCTGGGCAGGGCAGCACTCTTGGCTAGGCCACAAGACTGAAGCTGACTGAGGACACAGACCCCAGAGAACCATCTTTATCTCCCCCACAGCATCCAACACCAGGGGAAAGGCGCAGACAAAACTGGAAACAGTTGCTTCCTGACCAATGACGACCGCCAGTGTTCTCTTGTCTTCAAAATTACCCCAAATAGTAAACAAATATATGGAAAAATGTTCAATCTACTAGTAATCCAAGAAGTGCAAAATAAAATGTCAGGGAAGAATTGTCAACTGTTAACTAGCAGCCATTGGGGGAAGAAAAACAAAACCCAGTGGGAGTGAAGATGTCATGAAGCTGTACTGCTGTGCATTTGTCTGACACAGCAGGAAAGCAATTTGGCAATATGTATTAAGAGCCATACGAATTTTATCTTTTTGACTTAATAATCGCCATTGGTTCTCCAGCAGTGGTAGGCAGAATAACAGCCCTCCAAAGAAGTCCATGCCCTAATCTCTGGAACTCGTGTTACTTTACATGGCAAAAGGGACTTTGCATGGGGGGAGGGCAAAAAGGGTAAAAAGGGTCAATTATATGGTGATGGATGGAAACTACACTTTTGATGGTGAGCACATGGTAGTGCATACAGATGCTGAATTATAATGTTGTACACCTGAAACCTATACAATGTTATAAACCAACGTTACCTCAATAAAAATAAAAAAAGAGAGAGAGACTTTGCAGACGTGATTAGGGTACAGACATCAAGATGAGGAGGTTATCTTGGATTTTCCAGGTGGACCCATCTAATTGGACAAGCCTTGAAAGCAGAAGGGAAGATTTGACAGAGAGATATGAAGTGAGAAGGACAACCTCCTGTTGCAGGCTTTGAAGATGAAGCAGCCTCCTGCCAGAGAACGTGGAGGCCTCTAGAAGCCGAGAAGGGCCTGTAGCTGACAACCAGCAAGGAACTGGGGACCTGAGTCCTACAACCACAAGGAACTGAATTCCACCAACCTGAGTGAGCAAGGACACGGATCCTCCCCTAGGGCTTCTATAAAGGAAAGATGCCCTTATGACATCTGGATTTTAGCCTAGTGAGACCCATGTTGGACATACGACCTACAGAATACACTATAAGAATACACTTAGGTCGTTTTAGGTTGCTCAATTTGTGATGATTTGTCAAGACAGCAATAGGAAACTAATACACAAGAGCCCAGTGATTCTCACCTATTAAAACACAGACTGCTGAGCCCCAACCCCAGAGCTTCCAATTCTGTGGGTCTGGGGTGGGGCTTGAGAATCTGCATTTCTAATGAGTTCTAATGTGATGTGGATGCTGCTAGTGTGTGGAGAGAGAACCACTTTGAGAACCACTGCTCTAACCAAAGGAAATAATGCAAAATACCTGAAAAGCTCTATAAAGCAAGTATTACTTGTAATGTTATTTGGAATAGTTAGACCAACCCAAATGATGCACCAGTTTGACAGACTTCTACACAGCCACAGGTGGGGTAGGGGGTGGCTATGAAGATTGAGTATTAAATTGGAAAATACCCAATACCCACGACAAACTTCAGCCAGAAGCAGAATGGGACGCTCTTTCGCTACAATTAGGTGGAAACAATGCACAGGTAGAAGGACTAAAAACTAGTGGCACAGGGCTGGATTACGAGTCTTTTCCCTCACCCTTCTCCATTTTTTGAAAGTTCTGCAATGTGGTTATATTAACTTCATAATTAAAGTTTTGTTTTTTTTGTGTGTGAGGAAGATCAGCCCTGAGCTAACATCCGATGCCAATCCTCCTCTTTATGCTGAGGAAGATTGGCCCTGGGCTAATATCCGTGCCCATCTTCCTCTGTTTTACATGGGATGCTGCCACAGCATGGCTTGACAAGTGGTGCGTTGGTGCGCACCAGGGATCCGAACCTGCGAACCTGCACGCACCCAACCGCTACGCCACTGGGCCAGCCCCCATGATTAAAAGTTTTTAATGATAATAAAAACAAGTAACACCATTCTGTATGAAAGTATAATAGTGGACACATGTCATTTGTTCAAACCATAAAATGTACACCAAGAGTGATCCTACTGTAACTATGGCCTGTGGGTGATGGTGGTGTGTCAGTGTAGGCTCATCAAGGTAACAACTATTCCACTCTGGTGGGGACGCTGATAATGGGGAAGGCTGTGTGGGTGTGAGGGCAGGGGAGATCTGAGAACTCTGTACTTTCTGCTCAATTTTGCTGTGAACCTAAAATTGCTCTAAAAAATAAAGTCTATTAGGGCCAGCCCCGTGGCTTAGCAGTTAAGCGCACGCGCTCTGCTACTGGCGGCCCGGGTTCGGATCCTAGGCGCACACCGACGCACCACTTGTCTGGCCATGTTGAGGCCCCGTCCCACATACAGCAACTAGAAGGATGTGCAACTATGACATACAACCATCTACTGGGGCTTTGGGGAAAGAAAAAA